CCCCAAAACCCCAAAACCCCAAAACCCCTTTAAGAGTGGATATGGTTGAAGAGAAGACTTTATTATTTAAACTAAGAAATCTAGTTTTTTGAAGGGTTTTTAAGGAAATTTGTATTTTTTATAATCCTGGTTTTTGGGAAGAATAGAGCTAGAAAAATGTCGAAATTATGATATAAAAAATCTGCGATTTATTAAGCTCGTATTCGTTAGACTCATTTCTAAGCACATCTCTTTGAAATAAGATGAAGTACATAAAACTTTATGTAAGAATAATTTCAGAAGCTAGCTATATCTTTGAAGTGGGTAAATATTGGGCTCTTCTAAACAACTAGACTGTGAGTTATTTTAGATATTTAAATAAATCTATGCTATACAAACACCAAATTAAGCTGTTTTCTAGCTAAAGTAGATATATTCTGAGTTCAGAAAGATACCTTTAATCAAAATTAGATCCATTTCTTAATGAACAGTTGCAAAATATGCAATGACAAGTACTAAAGAACATAATGATTAGATAGACACATTTATCAAAATCATATTTGATCGAAACTATTTCGAAATTCAGGAAGTGACAACTGACTGTGCAGTCTTTCTGCAGAAGTTTGCCTCAAGAATAGCACAACACAAAGGAGTCCTCAAGAAATAAAGCCAGAAATATTAGAGAAAGAGCCAACATAAATAGCATCGAGGATCATAGACATGAAGCATTAAAAGAAGCACAAGTTTGAGAAACTGAGGGTAAAGAAAGAGAAGATGAAACCAAACGCAAGGATCAACAAGTAAGTCAGGATTTATCAGAAATTTGATTTATCTCTCTTTAGATTTTAAACAGTAGCCATTTTCAGGAAGATATATGTGAGATCAATAATGAAGAAACAAACATTTTCAGTTTAAAAACACTCTTCACTCAAAGAGCCCAAATTCTGCATACTTTTATCCAAAAGCAATCAGAATATGAATCCCAAATTGAACAAATGAAGGAACAAATCAAGAATTTACAATGCGAACTGAGTTATGTACGGACTCAAATAATTCTTGAGAAGGCTTCATTAGTTGAGGCTAAGAACAGCATTATAGAAGTTTCTGGCCAACGCCAGAAACCTTCAAAATTGAGAGACCTCAACTTAAAATGAAGAGATCTTGTAAATTTGACCTTATCGCAATAGAATTCTTGAGTAGAGAAGTCAATTGAAGAAGATTTGCAAAAAGATTTATGCAAAATTTTAAACTCTACTGCTGATCATCATTCAATATTGACTGAGGAGTCTTCATTGTTTCTAAATGTACAGCATGGTAAGAAGTCAACCATTCCTCAAGTTTATGACAATCTCTCTAATTTATACTAAATCTGATAAATTCTAAATCAGAATTCTTTTAGATTCTGATACAATTAGTTCTGAAATTTGGTCAGAAAAATACTTCTTTTTGCCAGAAATCAAACAAAAGATTAAGTTAACATAATTTTAGAAAGTGACCAAAGAACCTTAAAGAGGTTGGCTGGGAGAAGGCTTCCTAAGCTAAAGTCTCTGACAATTGAAGGATTTGCTACACATCTACATCCTGAGAAGATAGAAGCTTTTATAACCCAGAGCATTCCTGACGGACTTGAATGTTTGTCATTTAAAGGAAGTCATGACTTCCTTCCTTTGATTCTTAAAGTAGCCAAAAGAGTCAAATAAAGAGATTTATTTGAAAGAGATGACACTCACTCAACAAGAAATGATTGAAATATTAAGTATTTAAGGATTACCTCTAATTATAGTCGCTTTCAAGCATTGCAAGACTGTATCATTGTATTCATCAAGCGCTAAGATTCATTCAGAACTAGATTTTGGAAGCAAACTGGATGGCTCAGTCATAACGTTTCTCGATCTTTTTGGAAATGGGTACAAATCTGGAGAGGATTGGGGGAAAAACCCAATAAAATTCAGACATATTCTAACAGGCCTCTACAAAGTTGAAAGTATCAGACAGAATCTTAGAAAGATTAATGTAGATTACTGATGAATGAATTATCTACAAGCAATAATGCATATACATGCTGTTGGGTTCACCGATGTAATGGTTATAGCTGACATAAAAATAACCTATTTCAATACCAATTTTGATTCTTGGGGTTTTGGGGTTTTGGGGTTTTGGGG